ACTGCAAAAATTGGAGCCGGACGTTCGAGGACCAGTCGTTGGTTGCGGCTTCGGTGGCAATGTGTGAGTTGCAGTCAATGCCCAACATAAGGGGCATGACTCGCCAAACTCCGTGAGACTCAACCGAGGCCTTCCGGTTCGTGCCAACGGCGCCTGATGTGTCTGCCATCACGTCGATGGCCACACAGTCCTGCGCCACCAGCCTCGGATCAGAATCGGATCAGAACTGGCAAGTTGACATCAGCTTTCTTCTCGACTTTCTTTTCTTCATTTCTTCCTTTCAACTTCCCTCACAAGCTTCCAAGTCTCCGGCCGCTTGACCTCCTGCAGCCCGTTGCAGGACACCCGCGGCAGGTGCGGAGTGTCCTCCTTCACGAAGAGATCCACCTCCAGGCCTGCGTCCAGTGGTCCAGTGCGCACGGATCCGCACGGATCCGCACGGATCCGCACGGATCCGCACGGATCCGCACGGATCCGCACTTCCGGGGCTCGCTGAGCGCAAGAGACTCTAGCCGGGAAGGCCAGCCGGGGCCGGGCAGGCCGGCCGGGATGAAGGTCGGCTTTGCGGGAAGCTTTGCGGGGACCGGGATGCGGGGACGTTTGCGGGGACGTTTGCGGCCAGACTCCCGAATCCGATAGTCTTGCATCTCTGGGTCTGGAGCGGGTGTCGTCTCCCAAAAGTTGTCAGCGTTTAACAAACATCCAAGCACAATGGCCCTTGCTGTGAAATGGTACTTCACGATCAGAGCTCCTGGACTTTGTGTTGCTCTTTTGGATGTCGTAGCATTAACCTTTGGTGTAGGAACAGTAAACGCAAACAACTTTGCAATTGAGCTTGCTATCCTTTTGTGACTTCTTTGGAGCTACTAAGTTTGCTCGCTTTGCCTAACATGCTGTGCCTTACAAGCTGACAAGGCTGCTTCCCATGGCATGCTTGTTCATTCTGCTAAAGGAAAGCGCAGTGCGCACCGCCTCAAGCACAGTGAGCTTTGGAACACTTCGCCACGTGTGTCCCACCCGAAACAAGAATTGTGTGCGCTTTTCGCAATGCGGTCTCAGCTTCCCTGTGGCTCCCAAGCCTTCAACTAGCTGTTGCTGGATTGCTCGTGCTTTTCAACACCAGGGGTGAATGATCGATTGACATCTCTCGAGCTTGCAGGCTCAGAACCAATCCGCGGTCCCTGTCCCTCTGCAAGCGAGCACATCACTGGACATTGCTTGCTTCTTTCGAATGTTCAATGACAGCTTGCCAACTGCATCACATTCTGATTGGGCACAATGTGAGTGGGCATGTACAATATGACGCCTCTTGATCAATGAAAGTCAAGCCCTTGGATTCGAATTCATTCGAATGTCGTTGGGGAATCCAAATCCGTTAAAACAACGGCCATGTGTGAAACGACCCGTGGCAGTGTCACCTGTGGCGTATGCCGTATGTAGCACAGGTTTCAAGCGTGCCAACAGCGAGTCGCCAGCGCCGCCCCACCTTGCCGCAGGCAGCGCTCCATGTGCCACTCGTGAGAGGAGTGCCTCGACTCCGACTTTTCGGCTTTTCGGCTTTTCGAATTGAACATCTCGGGACACAATGCTCCGTGTCTCTGGGTGCCGCGCCGGTCCACTTCAATGTAGAAGACCTGGGGCACCTGACGAACCAACTGCACAAAAATTGGCCCGCCCGGCCCAGGCCCAGGCCTCCTCTGTTGAAACTTGCCTGGCAGGCAGAGTGAGCAGAGTGAGCAGAGTGAGCCGTGCGCATCGTGCGCATAGCTCGTGCGCTGTTCATGGAAATGGCCGAATGGCCGGGCGGGCCTCTCGAACTGAACGTCTTTGAGCGCCTGAACATTCCCCGCCTCCCCCCAGCGAGTTCCCGCCACTCCCACCTCTGCCGCAGTCGTGAGGCCTGAGGCCGAACTCGGAACCGTGCGGCCAGCGGAAGACCATAGAAACCCTGCGGAAATGCCCTTGTTTCGGAAGCTCAGTTTGCCTCGGAAGTATAAGGACTGGCCGCATGCCCTTGCTTCAGGAAACCCAGTAGCTGAAAAGGAAAAAGAAGCCCTCACTCCGGTTGTGGAATTGCTCAAGAAGCTGCCTTCGCTTCACCAACCAAGGGTGCTCTATTGCGGTGATTGGCATGGAGTGTGTCCGCTTTGTCAGGTGTGCTTAGCTTGTCGGACGCGTGTGCTTTTGGGGCGAGTGTTCGCTGTGCTTTTGACACGCATCCGAATGAAACGTTGCCGACTATCCGAAGAAACCCTGTCGAACGGCCGCTCGGGGATCGATCGAGACCGGATAAAGCCATGCGGCTCATGCGACGCTGGATGCCGGTGACCAGGGACTCGCTCAACAGGCAGTCGCCCCGACCTGCACTCCACAAGTCGCAACGGGCCCGTCTTGTGAAACCCGTTGCCTGACGGCTGGTCGGCCTGGCAAAGGTCCATGATCTCTCTGTCCCTTTCGCAAGTCCGATGCCTTCAATTTCACAGTGGGTACCTCACGCTGACATCTCGCGAAAAGGAGCTTCATGAAAAAACAAGGCGTAGGCAATGGTCAGCTTGGCTAAGTACGTGTCGATGGCCTTTCCGCGGATTGGATCGGATGCATCTGGAACCAAATCGCGGCCTTGCCAATGAGCTCTGGCTCATCCTTCGAAGCCGACCGTGCAATCATCACGAAGTCCTGATGCGACAGGCGGGCTGGCGGGCTGGCGGGCCGGGCCGCGCATGGACCAAGCGGCAAACGCCCCGGGTCCTCATCCATGAAGGTTGTGGCCTCATGCGGAAAACGCCCGCGCGCGCCCTCGAGTCGAACATTCCGAGCCCAGTGGCCAGTGCCCGGGCTAAAGCTCGTCCGCTCCGCTCACATTCCCGGTCGCAAAGCACCACCTGGTGCGACGGACACGTCTGCATCGGCCCTGGACAATGACGAGCGAGCTACGAGCTACGAGCTACGAGCTACGAGCTACGAGCTACGAGCTGCGGCCCGCGCCGCCGCAAACCGCATCTCCCCGTCGCCCTCCGCATCATCGAAGCCCACAACGGCCTCCAGCTCTGACGCTCCGGGCCATCCCGCAATCCGATCCGAGCCTTCCGAAAAAGCCGTGCCAGTGCCAGCACTGGCTGGCTGAGCTCGTTGCCTGAAGGCCACATTGCAAAATGATGCAAAATGATGCAAAATGATGCAAAGTGGCATGTCCAATTCAGACCGATCGTTGATTGGCTTTCATGCCAAGTCTGCCACTTGCGGTCGAGCAGAGAAAGATCTCTATCGCCTTTGCACGAGCTCAAATGGGATGCAACAGGATACAAATATTTTGAGCGCCTCCCCGACAGCATCATCTTTCGATGGGAGCCGCTCCTCGCACAAGCTCTGTAAGCGCACGCATGCCACAAGCTGTCCAAAGCTGTCCTGTGTGATGTACGGATGCTCGTTGAGAAGAATCTCTGCCTCTGGGACCCATTCAAACCCCAGCCCTGCCCGCGAGCACTCGAGCAATTCGAGCACGAGCCTCCTGGACGATGCTGCCTGGAACCTCCTTTCCAAGCTGAGATAGCCTTGCGACTGTCTCGGTTTCTGAGACCTGTGTTGAAATTGCAACGGGCCAGCCGCACATGGCGGAAAACAGCTCCGTGAATTGCACAGTGCCTCAGGTGGAACGCACGTTCGAGTGCTTTTCGCTTTCCCAATCCAGGTGAGCATCGGCTGTCGGCGACATCCAACAGCAGGCCCCCCGGAAGCTTTAAGGACTCCTTGCTCGCTCGAATCAACTCACGAGACAAAAGGATATCCGAATCAAAGACAAACTGCGGGCATCCTGCAGCTGGGTGAGCGCGGTCAGGGAGTTGGAGGGCAAATGCACCTGCGCCAACCCGAGCCCACACGAGTCTTCTGAATCTCAGAGCTCCTCCTTCTGGTTCTGCACTTCTGCCAGCTGAGCGGGATCCAGCCTAGCTCCATCCAGGCCCGAAACTCGCACGCCCCGAGTGCCGAAATGAAGGAGACCCGAAGGAGATCCGAGGGAGATCCGAGGGAGATCCGAAGTCTGGGGCCATGACACGTTGGAGCAGGAGGCGAAGTCGTGGTGGAGGTCCTACGGGCAAAATCGGCAAAAAATCGGAAGATTTCAGCGAAGTGCGGCCCAGCGGCCACTTCGAGCCCTGCACAAAAGTGGTTTCTCCTCAAGGAAGGAATGCCCAAAGACACGAAAGACACTGGCTGCTTCTCAGGCTGCAGCTCATGCCAGCCAGCAATGCCGTGCTCCCAGACCCGAGCAGTGTATGAAGGACCTGGGATCCAGTCCATCGTCCAGTCGTCCAGTGCAAGTCGAGCCAAGCGCCGGACACTTTGGCCTGTCCTCGCTGCTTCTTCGAATGCTGAGAGGCAGAGTTAACCTCAGAAGTACAAAAAGGATCGCGTCCGTGGGCCGGTGGGTTCGGAAGTCAAGCGCACGGCTGGGACTTCTCGGCCTCTGCCTCATCCTTCAGGCTCATCAGAACGAGTCGGGAGAACCGCCTTGCTTCATACCTTCATACCTCTCCGAGCCTCTCCTTGTCTGTTGTTCGATGTTCGTCTCTCCCTCTCTACCAATAGCTGTTCGCTAGCTGCCACTAGCTTTCTCTCCCAGATCGCCTTCTCCTGGATTGCCCCAGGCAGCTCCATGACCTCATTTGAGGCCAACTCCACTCAGACATCGATTCTCGGCTGGGGCTCGCACGGGCACTAAGCAACCATGGGCACTGGAAGCTCTGTTTGTTCTGCGTGTCTCTGAACTTAACTGGGGCTGAAACTTCGAGTTGTGTCAAAGTTGTGTCTGAGTTGCCAAGCTGCCTTGAACCGAAAGCAACACATCCCCGGGCTGTGAATGGCTAGCCTACTGATTGACACGTAGTGATACCCGGACCAAACCACAATATGCCTGCGAAATTGCGATGTGCTTCGTAGTGTCCCTTCCCAAAAACAAGAAAGAAAGCCGTGCAAAGCCGTGCAAGCCTTGCAAGCCTTGCCTGCCCGGAAGTCTTCGAATTCTTGGGAATCACCTCCTCAGGCTGCAAACGCGTCTGGACGCCCTGCGGATCGATGCAAATGTACCTGAGGGCAAGGGCAAGCACCTCCCGACTCGCAACAGACAGACATGGCACTCCCAGTTGCCCCGAGCGAAGCCAGATTGCTGCGGCAGGTGGGTGGCCGGCACATCCTCCTCGCCAGCGGCAGCAAAACGCTCCAGTTGGCTCATGGCCGCCATGGCCTTTGGGGTAAGGACCTGCACACCGCAAAGGGTGGTGGGCAGGAAGTAAGCACCCACCCTGCACAGGCAAGATCACCAAGAGAGACAAACGCACAAGGCAGGCCTCACCCAATCGCCCAGATCAACTCCGTGAATCACAGAGCCCCACAAAGCGGTTCGGGCTGGCACCGCCTGCAAAAAGGAGTGAAGCGTGTAGCTCTGAGCGTAGCTTCTCCCTCCCAAATTTACTGCCCTCTCTATCATTGTCTCTCTTCCAAGCTTCCTGCTCCCTTGCTCCCTCTCTCTCCCTGTTCTCCATACGTCAAGGTGTGGCGGTGTGGCAGTGTGGGCGCGCCTTGTCGTCCAGGTCTTGGCTCCCGCGGTACCCGATGCCGTCTGAGTCCGCCTGCGCTTCCGGAGATGCGATCCCATGTCCGGATCCATCCGAAGGATCCGAAGGATCGAGAGAGCCCGAGTCCATCCGAGCCCATCCTTGAAGGTGCGGTTGTCCACGAAGAAGGCCCTCTCAGACTCCTGGCAATCCCTCGCACGACCCGCAACCCAACAGTTTGCTTGGTTGTGGGCTATGGCCGTTTCCTGGCGTTTCCTGGAGTCTTACCACACGGCTTGCGCGACCCGTGCGCCATTCAAGCTCCGAACGCAGTCGCAGTTGCGCCTCCGGCTCCTGGCAAAGCGAAAGGCATGCGGAAAGGCATCGATCGGCGCGTGGATCGATCGCTTCGAACCGTGGGCCAACTCGGTGCCTGAGCCGCGTGGCTGGCCGCCGCCGCGGCCGCCGTGGCCGCCGTGGCCAGGGTCGCGGCCTGGGCGGCCTGGGTGGCCACCTGCGTGGCCAGCGTGGCCACCTGCGGCTAGAAATCCCGCGCTTTCTTTGCGGTTTCTTCTGTTTTGCATCTTTGTCCGAATGCCCCGTTGCCATGTTGAACTTCTCTCCTTTTCAAATCTGCGAAACACGAGCATCAGATGCTCTCGCGATGCGCCTTCTGAACTTCATCCGGCGATGCCTCGCTGGGGGCCACAAGCAGCTTTCCGTTCCTGATCGCGGCAAGCTCCCACTATGTAGCACCGAGGAACTGGGGAGCGCACTGCGAAGCAAAGCTGATCCAGCCATCCTGGCCTGTCCTCGCACACTGTTAGCTCCCTGCGAACCCGGCCTTCTCCCTTCGCCCGCTCCCTCCTTCTCTCTCTCTCTCTCTCTTTTTCTCTCTCTCTCTTTTTCTCTCTCTCTCTTTTTCTCTCTCTCTCTCTCTCTCTGTCTCTTCTCTCGCTCTCTCCCTCTCCCAATCTCTCTTGCGATCTTGCACCAGCCAAAACCTCTATGGTCGCGGCAAAGGATCTTGCACGTAGAGCCGCCGACTGCGGGCTCCTCCAAACAGCCCATTCGAGGCTGTGGGTGGGTGGGCCGGGTGAGGGCGCGCGGCGCCTGAGCCGTGCCCGAGCACGCGCACGGCTCGTTCCTCCAAGGAAGCCCAAGTTCAAAGCTCCGAGAGCGCAGACAGTGTCCCGCTGTCCTTCTCCAATTGGGCCAGGGCAGCACTTCGCATGTCCTCTGCATCGAGCCGTTGCAAGGAATCCAAAGAGTTCTGAGAGGAGAGGTGGGGATGTTTGCATCCCGACCTCGGCTGCCCGCATGATGGCCGCCTGCAAGAGATGTCACACCGCACACGCGACAGAACATCTGCCACGCCTCCAAGACCACAATCATACCGCCGACTGGGAAAGCCTCGCACTCAACGCATCTTGACGACTCGGTCGCACCCGACGTCCTCGACAACTTGAAGTCCAGACAAAGCCCAGGGAGAGTCCTGGCGAAGGCCCGCTTGGGCTTGCTCATGTCCTGCCTAGCCCCCACCTCGAGAGTCAGCACTGTGGCGCCACCGAGCCTGTGCCCGGTCAGCCGATCAGCCGATCAGCCGATCAGTCCCTGTCCCAGTCTCCCGCGTCTCCCGCGTCTCCCGCGTCTCCCGCGTCTCCCGCGTCTCCCGCGTCTCCCGCGTCTCCCGCGTCTCCCGCGTCTCCCGCGTCTCCCTGAACGTTGTGGGCCCCTGGCTGGATGGGAAGGTACAGATCGTCCGAGACACGCAGCCAGCCGTCATCCACCACGCCCTCCGAGACTCCGAGACAGGTGTGAAAAGGATAAGGCAGAGAACAGCCCTTTCAACGTGCCATTGCAATGCCTGATTGGGTTGGATCGCTTGCATACTTTGCAAAGGGATGAAGGCAACGCTGAAGCTTTGGGCCCTTGACTTTTCTTACTGCATTTTGTTGCATGCCATTGAGCATTGCCGTTGTAATCAAAGGCCCTTCAACTTGGTCCAGTCGGCAAATTAGACAGCTGTGAAGTTGCAACGGAAGCTCCACGTGGAATTCGCAGGCCAGAAATCTGCGGGTCAGTTGCAGCCGCGCCGTAGATGCTTCATGTCGAATTGCCACAGGTCTTGGAGCACGTTTCTCAAGGTGCCATCTGAAAGAAAGGCAATGGATCTCGTGAATTTCGACGGGTTGCGGTCGATCTCGTGATCTACGTTGGGCTGTGAAAGGATTTCGAAACCGGCGCCCGGAAAGGATCCGAGGCTTGCACTCGCCGGAATCTGGAGGTGAGCGGCCTGACCTTCGCCTGGAGCCCAAGCTGGCCTCGGCGCCTCGGCGCCTCGGCGCGGCCTGGCGGCCTGGTCCGCGCTTCAGATGTCTATCTTATGTTTGCATCGGCGCCCAGTTCAGAGGTTGTCGCTGAGGTTGTCGGCATGGTCTCTTTGTGACAAGTGCGTTCACAAGGCCATAGCGCGGGAATGGAGGACCTGTGTTCACTAATCCGGCAAACATCGTCTTGCTACCGCGCCTGCCGCGATTTTGAGGTTCGCAAACACATACGCTTTGCCCGGGCGCCGATTTGGTTGCTCCAGAACAGCCAGCCCGGTACTTGCCATCTACCTCGCAATTCGAACGCTCTCAACGCTCTTAGGGCTTTGAATCCGTTGACAACGTGATGCGTCTAGCATGGGTTCGCACGGTGGCTGGGACTTGATGCCCGCGTTGCTTGCGATGGGACACGCGTTGAGATGTGTTGAGATGTGTCGCCAGGGAATCTCCTGGTGGATTGGGACCTGGAGCAACTTGATCCCATCTGCTATGTGGCGCCTTTCAGCTGCAGCTTTTGCGTGCACGTGACGAGAGGTATGATTGGACTGTACGACGCCATGGTGTAATTGTACCAACAGTCGGTATGCACTTCAGCATTCCCAAAGCTAGGGGGGGGAAGGTGAAGAAGGTGAAGACCTTGGCATCGCCTCCACCAGTGAGCCCCAGGGTGCTGTGCAGCTCAGGTCAAGGTCTTCCAAGTCTTTGGTGAAGCCTCAGGTTGCAAGATCGATGTCCCACGACTGCCTGCCCGAGTGCCCGAGTGCCCGAGTGCCCGAGTGCCCGAGTGCCCGAGTGCCCGAGTGCCCTGCGATAGTTGATGCCTTCGGTGCCAGCGTTCAAGCTTCGGTTGTCCACCAAGTATCTCTTTGGCGCCTTGCCAAAGTCCAGACCGGCCACGAAACCATCCGAAACCATCGGCCGTTTCCGGCGGACTGCCCCTCCGGCGCATCGGCCCCGGCACCTCCGCATTGAGGTCCTGCGCCTTCTGCCGTCTCAGCCATTGGCCCGACGGCACCGGGTCGTCCGACACGATCTGCGGCGGATACCTCGGCAAGCGTAGCGAGCGTTCCCCTCGCTTCTTAGATTCTTGCCGTCGCTGCCGTTCTCGCCGTTTGACCTGAGGCCCTCCTTCGCCGGGCCACGAGGTTGTCACAGTGGTAGCTGTCACGCCAGCAGCCGATCGCTGCGATTGCACTGCCTCGAATTTCCGAGAGTCCACAGTTTTCAACAGAAGCTGAAAAGGAAGTAAGAAGGGAAGGAGTGAAAGGGAGAAGTCTGAGCAGGCTGCTGCCACTGCGGTCACGCCGCGGTCCCATTCTGTCTCCTGGGAGCTCGTTGATACTTTGACAAGTCAAGGCACCGCACCTTTGGATCAGAGGCCCACATCTCTGTGCCATCGGATCGCTCGCTTCGCATGGTCACTGCGGCACCTCAGCGGGCGATACTACGCCTCCCTCCGGATGCAAAGGGAGCTGGCTGGGTGTAGGCGTATGCGATCTGCCTGTCTTCACCTTGCTTCCCGCATGCGAACCATTCACAAATGGTGACAAATGCACGTGACCTCGACCACGGTGACCTGGCACGAGATCTCGCGTCCAACACATCCAGCCACTCCACTCTCAGGGAACGACCAGGCGGCGACCAGACTGAGCCACGCAGCTTATCCAGCCGCACAGCCCAGACCTGATGTCCAAAACAGGCACGATCCACAAACTTCAAATCATCTTGGAGCCCGCACTCAGCGTGTCTCACCTCACCAGCGCTCATGCAAATAGTCACGGCTTTTCCATGTGACCCGACCGTTCAGCCCCGGGTGTTGGCGGGGAAAAGCTAGCAAAAAGGTGGCCTGAAAGCATGATTTGCAAAGTAGGCAAAAAGTATGCTCCGATGGTACACCAGGTCACGGGTCCTAATTCACAGAAGCAGCCCAAGAGCGTGCAAGCTTCTCTGAGCAAGCTCCTTGCAGTTCTTCGTTTCAGTTATCTTCGCCCGAAGTTCCCCTCTGCAAGTTTCTCTGCGTAAATCTACTGTGCAGAAGTCTAATTCTCATTTCTGTGCTTAGTTCTTTGAGCAAGCTCTCTCAAGCGCTGCGCAAGCTTTTCTGCACGGGCTCTCTTCACAATCTAAACAAATTATCGGTGCGAGTTTCTTTGTCCAATTTCTCTGTGCATGTTTATCTGCACAAGGCTTCTCTGTGCAAGTTGAACGAAATTCCTCTGTGCAAATTCTGCACAAGTTGCAAGCTCTTTTGTGTGTAATGCAAGGCACATAAAATGGTTTCATATCTTGAAATATCAAACGTAGCAAAGCCCAACAAGCAGAATCAATGAAAACTCATCCCAAATCTTAAATTCCGAAGGCCCGCTCAAGCATCTGATATTCTGAAAATATGCATAACCGTGAATTGTGGGGCTTCCAAAGTAGCGCGAACACTGCATCATCCAGGCCCATTGGGGGAGCTTGGGCGAGGTCTCTGCTGCGTCAGCTTGGGATTCATCTGGCGAGCCACTGGGCAAACGCTTTCCAGAGACATGTCCTGCGTGTGTGGAGCCCTTTTTCCGCTTAATATCATTCTTGTTTTTTCAAAGCCTCCTAAGACTCATCCCAAACCCGAAAACTGTGAGGTGTTGGGATTCATCTGGAGAGCCACTAGGCAAACGCTTTCCAGAGACATGTCCAGCGTGTGTGGAGCCCTTTTTCCGCTTAATCTCATTCTTGTTTTTTCAAAGCCTCCCAAGACTCATCCCAAACCCGAAATCTGTGAGGTGTTGGGATTCATCTGAAGAGCCACTAGGCAAACGCTTTCCAGAGACATGTCCGGCGTGTGTGGAGCCCTTTTTCCGCTTAATCTCATTCTTGTTTTTTCAAAGCCTCCTAAGACTCGTCCCAAACCCGAAATCTGTGAGGTGTTGGGATTCATCTGGAGAGCCACTAGGCAAACGCTTTCCAGAGACATGTCCGGCGTGTGTAGAGCCTTTTCCGCTTAATCTAATTTTTGTTTTTGCAAAGCCTCCTAAGACTCATCCCAAACCCTAAATCTGTGAGGTGTTGGGATTCATCTGGCGAGCCACTGGGCAAACGCTTTCCAGAGACATGTCCTGCGTGTGTGGAGCCCTTTTACCGCTTAATCTCATTCTTGTTTTTTCAAAGCCTCCTAAGACTCATCCCAAACCCGAAAACTGTGAGGTGTTGGGATTCATCTGGAGAGCCACTAGGCAAACGCTTTCCAGAGACATGTCCAGCGTGTGTGGAGCCCTTTGTCCGCTTAATCTCATTCTTGTTTTTTCAAAGCCTCCTAAGACTCATCCCAAACCCGAAATCTGTGAGGTGTTGGGATTCATCTGGAGAGCCACTAGGCAAACGCTTTCCAGAGACATGTCCAGCGTGTGTGGAGCCCTTTTCCGCTTAATCTCATTCTTGTTTTTTCAAAGCCTCCTAAGACTCATCCTTTCCAGAGACATGTCCAGCGTGTGTGGAGCCCTTTTTCCGCTTAATCTCATTCTTGTTTTTTCAAAGCCTCCTAAGACTCATCCCAAACCCGAAATCTGTGAGGTGTTGGGATTCATCTGGAGAGCCACTAGGCAAACGCTTTCCAGAGACATGTCCGGCGTGTGTAGAGCCCTTTTCCGCTTAATCTCATTTTTGTTTTTGCAAAGCCTCCTAAGACTCATCCCAAACCCTAAATCTGTGAGGTGTTGGGATTCATTTGGAGAGCCACTGGACAAACGCTTTTCAGAGACATGTCCTGCGTGTGTGGAGCCCTTTTTCCGCTTAATCTCATTCTTGTTTTTTCAAAGCCTCCTAAGACTCATCCCAAACCCGAAATCTGTGAGGTGCTGGGATTCATCTGGAGAGCCACTAGGCAAACGCTTTCCAGAGACATGTCCAGCCCTTTTTCCGCTTGATCTCATTTTGTTTTTTTAAACTCATCCCAAATCCTAAATCTGTGAGGTGTTGGGATTCATCTGGAGAGCCTAGGCAAACGCTTTCCAGAGACGTGTCCAGCGTGTGTGGAGCCCTTTTTCTGCTTGATCTCATTTTGGTTTGTTGAAAGCCTCCTAAGACTCATCCCAAACCCTAAATCTGTGAGGTGTTGGGATTCATCTGCAGAGCCACTAGGCGATCCAGCCTCTTTCCACATTTGTCCAAGCTCCTTAATCTCATCCCTAACCCTAAATCTGTGAGGTGCTGGGATTCGTCAAATGTTTTCCAGGGACATGTCCTGCGTGTGAGATCCAGTTTGTGCTCTGTGTTCGTGCGAGTTTCCAGTTCAAGTGAAATCGCATCTGTCGTGTGACTCTCGGCTTACTAAAAACTCCCAAACCCTAAATCTGGCTGTCTGGCTCTTTTCCACACCCCCTCCCCTCACCTTTCCAAGCTCATGGTCGCTTCCGGTTCGCACCTTTGGTGCAGCTCTCAGCCCGGTGCCAGTCACAGTCACAACAGTCACACCTGAGGTCCCTTTCAATTTCTGGGGGCCCCTGCATAGAGCCGGCGCGTGTTCGGCTCGCCGCCGTGGGCCAAAACACTCAGCAGACTGCCCTGTCTTGTCACGCGGTCCAAAAACAAGCTCGCACAGTTTCTCACCTTCAAAATGTGTTGGGGGTCTCGAGCCTCCTCCAGCACGGTGACTTGCTCGGACTTCAGATGCTCCTAAAAGCAAAATGAAGCCAGCAATGCGCAAAGTCAACACCTCTGCGCTGCTTCGGCCTAGGTCAAATTGGAGGGTCCTCTGCCCGCATCACCATCTCGTCGAGGACGGAAATGTTGCAACCTCTCGCCATTGCAGATCCAACTGCCCAATGAATATCACTGGCCTATAGGAAACTCCGCTGCAGCTCCCATTGTGGCTCCTTACAGACTTCTCAGGCAGAGGCTGGCTGTGTTGCCAGCTTAATTTTGCCTCGTGTGTAGCTGGGCATTGCTTGGCATGGGTAGGCCTGGAACTGTGGGCCAAGTCGACCGAACCACTGCTTCGCAGCGCCTCATCTGATGCCAAGACCTGAGAGATCAGAACACCGACCACATGCACCTCGTCATGCGCATCACAAATCTGGTGCCGGCCGTGATGCCATGCAGGCCATCCACCTGGCAGCCCTGAGCCATGAGAAGGTGAGAGAGCACGCTTCCGGCCAAAAGCCAAAAGCCTTCAATTCTTGCATTCGGGCAACACTTGGGCCCGCAGGCATGGCTGGCATCGCCTTGGTTCCGTGTGTGTGTGTGTGAGTGTGTGTGTGTGTGTATGAGTGTGAGTGTGAGTGTGTGTGTGTGCGTGTGTGTGCGTGTGTGTGCGTGTGTGTGCGTGCGTGTGCGTGTGTGTGCGTGTGTGTGCGTGTGTGTGTGTGCGTGTGTGTGCGTGTGTGTGTGCGTGTGTGCGCGTGTGCGCGTGTGTGCGTGTGTGTGTGTGCGTGTGTGCGTGTGTGCGTGTGTGCGTGTGTGCGCGTGTGCGTGTGTGCGCGTGTGCGCGTGTGCGCGTGTGCGCGTGTGCGCGTGTGCGCGTGTGCGCGTGTGCGCGTGTGCGCGTGTGCGCGTGTGCGCGCGTGCGCGCGTGCGCGCGTGCGCGCGTGCGCGCGTGCGCGCGCGTGCGCGCGTGCGCGCGAGCGCGCGTGTGCGCGCGTGCGCGCGTGCGCGTGCGCGCGTGCGCGTGCGCGCGTGCGCGTGTGCGCGCGCGTGCGCGTGTGGCGCGTGTGGCGCGTGTGTGGCGCGGTGCGCGCGTGCGCGCGTGTGCGCGCGCGTGTGCGTGTGTGCGCGTGTGCGTGTGCGCGTGTGCGCGTGTGCGCGTGTGGCGTGTGTGCGTGTGTGCGTGTGCGCGTGTGCGTGTGCGTGTTTGCGTGTGTGCGTGTTTGCGTGTTTGCGTGTTTGCGTGTTTGCGTGTTTGCGTGTTTGCGTGTTTGCGTGTTTGCGTGTTTGTTTGCGTGTTTGCGTGTTTGCGTGTTTGCGTGTTTGCGTGTTTGCGTGTTTGCGTGTTTGCGTGTTTGCGTGTTTGCGTGTTTGCGTGTTTGCGTGTTTGCGTGTTTGCGTGTTTGCGTGTTTGCGTGTTTGCGTGTTTGCGGGTTTGCGTGTTTGCGTGTTTGCGTGTTTGCGCGTGTTTGCGTGTTTGCGTGTTTGCGTGTTTGCGTGTTTGCGTGTTTGCGTGTTTGCGTGTTTGCGTGTTTGCGTGTTTGCGTGTTTGCGTGTTTGCGTGTTTGCGTGTTTGCGTGTTTGCGTGCGTGTTTGCGTGTTTGCGTGTTTGCGTGTTTGCGTGTTTGCGTGTTTGCGTGTTTGCGTGTTTGCGTGTTTGCGTGTTTGCGTGTTTGCGTGTTTGCGTGTTTGCGTGTTTGCGTGTTTGCGTGTTTGCGTGTTTGCGTGTTTGCGTGTTTGCGTGTTTGCGCGTTTGCGTGTTTGCGTGTTTGCGCGTTTGCGCGTTTGCGCGTTTGCGCGTTTGCGCGTGTTTGCGTGTGTGTTTGCGTGTGTGTTTGCGTGTGTGTTTGCGTGTGTGTTTGCGTGTGTGTTTGCGTGTGTGTTTGTGTGTGTGTTTGTGTGTGTGTTTGTGTGTGTGTTTGTGTGTGTGTTTGTGTGTGTGTTTTTGTGTGTGTGTTTTTGTGTGTGTGTTTTTGTGTGTTTTGTGTGTGTGTTTGTGTGTGTTTGTGTGTGTGTTTGTGTGTGTGTTTGTGTGTGTGTTTGTGTGTGTGTTTGTGTGTGTGTTTGTGTGTGTGTGTGTGTGTTTGTGTGTGTTTGTGTGTGTTTGTGTGTGTTTGTGTGTGTGTTTGTGTGTGTGTTTGTGTGTTTGTGTTTGTGTGTGTGTTTGTGTGTGTGTTTGTGCGTGTGTGTTTGTGTGTGTGTTTATGTGTGTTTGTGTGTGTTTGTGTGTGGTTGTGTGTGTTTGTGTGTGTTTTGTGTGTGTTTTGTGTGTTTTTGTGTTTTTGTGTGTTTTTTGTGTGTTTTGTGTGTGTGTGTGTGTGTTTGTGTGTGTGTTTTTGTGTGTTTTTTGTGTTTTGTGTGTGTTTTGTGTGTTTTTGTATATGTTTGTGTGTTTTGTGTGTTTTTGTGTGTTTTGTGTGTTTTTGTGTGTTTTTTGTGTGTTTTTGTGTGTTTGTTGTGTGTTTTTGTGTGTTTTTGTGTGTGTGTGTTTGTGTGTTTTTTGTGTGTTTTTGTGTGTTTTTGTGTGTTTTGTGTGTGTGTGTGTTTTTGTGTGGTTTTTTTTGTGTTTTTGTGTGGTTTGGTGTGTTTTTGTGTGTTTGTTGTGTGTTTTTGTGTGTTTTTGTGTGTTTTTTGTGTGTTTTTGTGTGTTTTCTGTGTTTTCTGTGTTTTCTGTGTGTTTTGTGTGTGTGTGTTTTTGTGTGTTTTTGTGTGTTTTGTGTGTTTTTGTGTGTTGTTTGTGTGTTTTTGTGTGTTTTTGTGTGTGTGTGTGAACCGTCCTGGAACACGGGCGTTGAACCCTTCGGAGTTTTTTCTGAGCAGGGGCAGGAGACAGTGCACCGCCATCACTCACTGCCCAACGAAGACAGTGATGGTTTGGTCGTGAAATCCGGAGTGTGTGTCTCTGTGTGTGTCTCTCTGTGTGTGTCTCTCTGTGTGTGTCTCTCTGTGTGTGTCTCTCTGCGTGTGTCTCTCTGTGTGTCTCTCTGTGTGTGTCTCTCTGTGTGTGTCTCTCTGTGTGTGTCTCTCTGTGTGTGTCTCTCTGTGTGTGTCTCTCTGTGTGTGTCTCTCTCTGCGTGTGTCTCTCTGTGTGTGTCTCTCTGTGTGTGTCTCTCTGTGTGTGTCTCTCTGTGTGTGTCTCTCTGTGTGTGTCTCTCTGTGTGTGTCTCTCTGTGTGTGTCTCTCTGTGTCTCTCTGTGTGTCTCTCTGTGTGTGTGTCTCTCTGTGTGTGTCTCTCTGTGTGTGTCTCTCTGTGTGTGTCTCTCTGTGTGTGTCTCTCTGTGTGTGTCTCTCTGTGTGTGTCTCTCTGTGTGTGTCTCTCTGTGTGTGTCTCTCTGTGTGTGTCTCTTTGTGTGTGTCTCTCTGTGTGTGTCTCTCTGTGTGTGTCTCTCTGTGTGTGTCTCTGTGTGTGTCTCTGTGTGTGTCTCTGTGTGTGTCTCTGTGTGTGTGTCTCTGTGTGTTTCTCTGT